AAAAAAAAAAGACAAAATTCTTCAAGCCAATTCTAGCCAATACCCAATACCTTTGCGTATAGTAATTTCTCGCGACAAATGGTCTAAAAAGGTCTGAAATTGCCATTTGCCTGGATTTTGGCTGGGACAATAGATGTTTATTTGCTGGCACGTGTACCTCCAAGAAACGCAAAGGCATAAGGATTTACGAGGTGCAGCCGGCGTTACGCGTTACAATATAGCATTCAAGGCATCATACGGCGTTATTCCTTCAGTATCCAGGATTGATTTTGTTCGCATTGGAAGGATCTGCATTCGCTATTCTTCACTTTTTGCAACTTTCTCCGCGATCGAGCCTAGACTGCCACGTTAGTAGACGGATCAACGGTAGCGACGAGAAATCTCCACTACTCAAGTGTGCCATCAGCACTTCCGACCTTTTTAACATCCTCATATCTTATTGACTGACGTCGTCCTATCCGACAGCATCTTTTTCAGCATTCGCAAACCCACAAAGCTCCAAAACAAGACAAATCGGGTATGCAACTAGTAGTTCGTAAACGTCTTTAAAGCTGAGATGCTTTTTCTTCCTATAACTGTTTCTCGTCTAGTTTTGGAGATGCATTTATCTTTCCAGTGGACATGAATCGTATACTAACCCACTTCACCAATCATTCAAGATCAAACTCGACATGGCATCTACACATCTTGCCGCAGTTCTTCCCTCTCGTGGTGCAGACATGGTCATCATGGAACGACCAACGCCAACTCCTGGTGCAAACGAGGTGTTGATTGAAGTCAGTGCTGTTGCATTGAACCCAATCGATATGATGCAACGAAAGTCTGGATGTACGTATATAAATTTCACATCCAAGTTGTTGTTTGAGTCTCTAACACATCTTTGAACGCTGATGTAGTTCCTTCGATCAACTACCCGGCTGTGCTTGGAAGTGATGTCTCTGGTACCGTCATCGCGGTTGGACCTACAATGCCGGCCGACGCTCCTGTCGTTGGTACACGTGTCGCTGTATGTAACGCATTGTGTTCCCATTACGTTTCCATGGAAGCTGAACATTACCTCAACGCAATAGGCATTCTGTCCCGCGTTCTTCGTCAAGGGCAAAGAAGATTATGGTGCCTTCCAAAAGAAGGTCATAGTACCAGTCTCAGCCGTAGTAGCCATCCCCGACACTCTCGCATTCAACGAAGCAGCCATCTTACCAATGGCTGTCCAAACCTCATGGGCTGGATTTATCAAGTCTGGTCTTACACGAACGACGTCGTATACTCCCGAAGATAAGAGGGGACTGCTTGTATGGGGTGCTTCCTCCAGTGTGGGATCAGCTGCAGTACAAATTGCAAAATCAATGGGATTCACAGTTTATGGTACCGCTAGCCCCAAAAATCACGAGTATATCAAGAGTCTCGGTGCATCTAGGATGTTTGATTATAACGACAAGGATATTGTGGCGACTATTGTAAAGGCTGGAAAGGAAGATGGGTTGATGATTGATTTCTCGTTTGTTGCTACAGGGGATTTCACTCCGGTGCTCTCGATTCTCAAAGAACTAAAGAAGCCTGACACCATTGCAAGGATTGCACTAGCACCATTTGCTTTGAAGATGTTGTGGTATGTGGAAATCATTCATTCCATGATAGAATCAACACGTATTTAACCAACACAAAACAAACAGGTGGAGCCTATTCCCACAATGGAGATCAACCGAGGTCAAGTTTGTGTCTATGAGTGATAAATTTGAAGAACGGAGCGAATTCTCTCACTTTATATTTGGGGTCTGGCTGAAAGACAAGTTGGCATCTGGGCAATTTGTGGCCAGCCCAAAGATCAAGCTTATAGAAGGTGGTCTAGGGGCCATTCAAAAGGCTCTGGATGTGGACTTGAAGAAGTCGTCTGCTGAGAAGCTCGTTGTTCCACTATAGGGGTGGAAGTTGGTAGATGATGTTGATGAAGACGAAAGGTGGCGTTTTCTCATGTAGAACTAGCCATAAAATTATAGCGATAGTACAATAGACAATTTGTTACATTCCAAATACTCGACAGTTTGGAACCGATCAAGACTGGCAAAGGCACGAATACAAGAAATCCGTATCTATCGAGGACAGTTACGCGTCATACGCGTCGCTACACGATTGTATATATCTGACAACTAGTGATCTCTCCATATCAGATTCACTTGTCTATCACCATCACCGAGCTTTCATTCCCTTAATACTTCTTTACAGTACATTTAGCACTATTCAAACAATACAAGGCAAGCAATGCTGCAACTCCCGCACCGTAAATTCACATATTCCAAAAGCCAACCGAGTCCATTAAGCAAGCCATCCAACAACCACACTCCTCCAGCTCCTCAAGCACCAATACACGAACGACTAGTTTCTAAATTACGAGCATGGAGGAACTCAGCGCAAGATCACCATCTATATCGAACGGCATTGTATTGGGCTGATAAGATTATATCTATTACTGGTATGCAATGTTTTTGATTTATTCATGTGGTTTTGATCAACATTTAGCCAACATTGTCAACATTGGGTATAGGAAACGCGACTGATATATGGCACTTTGCACGAATATGTTTTGAAATGGGGGACGCTATACGTGCTGAACACGTCCTGAAATCGTTTAATTTGATTGCGAGACATGTCGAGTGTCGGGAGTTGGCTGCTCAGTGTCTAGTAAGCAATGCGACCTTTATACCATCTTTTTTGCCTTTTTCAAGATGATTTGTTTCATTATTGATGCTTATTTGAACTCTGTATTCTAGATCAAGCAAGATCAATTCGACGAAGCCAGGACATTACTAGAGCAGAATGTGACTGGCTTGACTACTCTACGTAAGAGATCTGCTTTGAACTTATCGTCGAATGAGACGTACGACTAACATCTGACTCCTCTTTTATCTGGACGTAGCTCAAGTCGAATCCAAGGTCTCAGAAGCTGAAATCAACGTGAGAATAGTCAATTGCTTCTCAACAAGCTTTGTGACCGCTATAAACTCTTTTCGCTCTTTTTCACAGGTCAAGGCACGACAGCTTTTTTTATTGGGAAGTGCTGTCCTCAAATTACAAAAGACTGCACGAGCTCAAAGATGCTTTATGGATGCGCTTACTGCTGATCCACGGTGTTATGATGTATGTCTCTTTCATGGCCTCACTTTAACATTGTCGGAGCGACAAAAACATGCATAGCTTGAATGCGGATTGACCTGTGATCTTCGTCTTGTAGGCTCTGTATTCACTGATTGAGCATTGCTCGTTGCGAGAGATGAGTGGTAAGGCATCGTTGTTGGATTTCAAATTGCAATGAGTTTGTGTTCTAAAGAGTCTTTTTTCGTGTTCGTTTACATAGGTTCAAATCTCCTCCAACTTGTAAAATTCGAGCAGCTAGAGCCAGATGTATCCGAGTTTGTCAAGATGCTGTATAGTATCAAGTCAAGGAACAAAGTAAGCTGTTGAACGAGCTTATTCCTTTCTTCGAGTATTCTTTTTGCGCTCCTAACTGATTCTCACATATTTTGTACAGTATGCTCATGACCCCGATTTTGACAAACGAATCGATGAATTCGCTACACTGTATCGTTTATGTAATAATGCAGACATTCTACTGTCAAGAGCGGAGATGCTGTTGGTGAGGTGTCGATTCCAAGAGTGTTTGCAGGTCACTACAAGGTTAGACTTGGCAGCTTTCGAGAACTCTTGTTTTTCTCGCTAACGATCCTTGGCTTTATAGCATTCTAGTCCGAGATCCATTCAACCTTGAAGTACGTACAAACAATCTGGGTTTACATCCTCCAATCATTTCATTGTCGTCAACTGATTTTTTTTTCCGCTGTGACTTTTGTAGACGATACCGATACACATTGCATGCCTGTACCAACTCAACATGACACTAGAATTGTATGATTTGGGTCATCAGCTAGTGGATCACTACCCAAAGCTGGCAGTATCGTGGTTTGCTGTAGCTACGTATTATTTAGGAATCAAAAAGTATGAGGAGGCTCGAACTTACTTCAGGTATGGTCCAGGAATGTGTGAAGGGCTTTTTCTGCTGAAAATGTTGACTCAGAATTTGTCATCCGTAGCAAATCCTCATTAATCGATTCCAATTTCGGACCTGCTTGGATTGGATTTGCTCACACGTTTGCATTGAGTGGTGAAAACGTCAGAGCTATCAATGCTTATTCATCTGCCGCTAGACTTTTTGAAAAGTATGTAACTCTCAGCCAACGGGGAAAAAATCGAAAACGCTTATAAATATGACATTCACTCTGACTTTCTCACTCTCATCAGGACCCATCACCCAACAATGTACATTGGCATGGAGCATTTACACATGAAGGACTTCGACCTTGCTGAACAATACTTGACTGCTGCTAGAAGTATTTGCAAATTTGATCCATTGTTGGAGAATGAATTGGGTGTCTTGTACTATGAGAAACAAGAGTACGCCATCGTGATACGTTTTGTTGGCTGGGGTTTTCCCCGCCGATGTTGCTGATTTGTTGATATTTTTCTTACTAGATATGAAAGGGCAGCAGAATACTTTGAGAACGCAATTCAAATCACTGGAGAACTGCATGAGAAATCACTCATGTGGGAAAGCACCTATTCTAATCAAGGTCATTGTTATCGAAATCTCAAGTCAGTGTTGGCCAAGAAAAACGCATGCATTCTCCTACGAGATATCTCTCGATATTCTGACCATCATACCATCATCGTTTAGACAACACTCCAAGGCCAAAGAATGTTTCATGAAAGTCCTGCAAATAAATCCAGCTAGCTCGAATGCCATGTCGGCTTTAGGACTTATACATCATGTTGAAGGAGATTTAGAGAAAGCGTCAATGTGTTACCACAACGTGAGTACTCATCCAGGAGTTATCACTCGAGTCAGCTTTTTATGTTGCTAGCTTCTAACTACATAAAATTTTCTTAAAGGCTCTGGCAGTAAATCCAGGCGACATCCAAACCACCGAACTGCTGGATCGAGTCATTGAAGACAGCGCAGCAGTCCACCATGAAACTCTGCACTTACGAGATGACACAGACCACTACTCGAAAATGCTGAATCAGGTCGTACCTGAAATGGAACATGCTCCATCACAATCCAAGCAACAACAGCCAATGACGGCCAAAGCATTCTTTGAAACACCAGTGAATAAATTGATTGCTGGTAATGGTGGTACAGGTGGAGGAAGAGGAACGTCGTCGTCGTCGTCTCCAGCATCTCCAGTAATGTTTGAAGCACGACGTTCTACACGATTGCAAAGGAGTGCCACTACGACTACTAGATCGAACACGATTACAACTACGACGAACGTCATAGTTGCAGAGCAGGAGGAGGAGGATGATGATATCCAAATGGAGCTGGATGATTGAAAAGCTTGTTGCTACAGAGATAAGACGCTGTTGCTCGCACCCAACATATGAAAACCCTTGTATATATTTAACAATGCTTTGCATATAAATACTTTTGATGATGTAAATACAAGTTAATGTAGCTGATTTACAAGCTAGCTCCACGAGGCATCCCGAAGGTTGAAAAGTAACGAGCTTAGCTCCCTGCGGACGAGACTCTCTGGGAGGGCATTTCGGGCTTGGTCACTCGATTCAGTTGCAACGGACATTGCAAGAGACTCGACTAACTTATTGGTAGAAACATCAACGAGATGCCTGACTACAAGATGAAGGCCCCACCATAATCGCCCAGAAGTTCAGACCAAGACGACATAGATTTCAGTCAATACGCCAGTCTGTTCGAAAACAGAATGGACGTACTGACTTCGACACCACAATTGACTCAACAGCAGCGGCAGTCAGTCGAAACAGCTCCCAAGCAAGTAACCCCGTAGAAAGACATGCCTCCGGTGCGTTCCTTGATTGAAACGAGGTGTAGAGACGTGTTTGACGGCCTATGGCCGAATGACAAAGTTGCCTGTGATTGTAGACCTCATTAACAATCAAGGCTCAACCCATGGTGGAAGATCCACTGGTCCACTCAGGGTCGTGGTGTGTGGTGGGTCTGAGTGGCCACAAGATATGTTTAGCTCATGCAAACATTGATCTGTGGAATGGGGAACATAATTTTTGGTGACTACGAGGAGCTTCTGCCAACGTTCAGCACCAGGTAGGTTGCCTAATGAATGGAGAAGGTTTGATGCGAACGACGTCAATAGGGGGTGGTGAATCAGCCATACATGCCAGGTTTGTCATAGCAAGCTCGAGAAACAGAGACGAATTCTTTCGAATGATATCAATGCTGCTCAAAAGAGCCCAGTGAAAGGTCCAGCAAACATGTATAGCTAGAACTTGTTTCCTGCCAGAAGGATCAATAGAGAACGACACTGAACCACATCATTGGCTATTAATAGATGACCTATCCCAGCCATATTGGCTATTTAGGATGCCATATTGTTCTCTGAAATCACATATTCGATGCCCTCATTGGAGTTGTGGATGTAGGAACAGAAATTCGACGTATGCACGCATGCATTTGTAACACTGTATAAGAGACCCCGCAAAGAAGATTTGCAAATAAATACTTATGGCTATATTAAACAGATGCAGTACTGTAGCCTTCTATTCAGCATTCCCTCTCAGGTCTACTTTTCAAATGCAAACAGCTCTAATCTCAACCCTCCACAACGCAAAAAAAGGAGAGCCTGTAACTTCCTAATGGGACCATTTCCAAACCCAGTTCCACATCCTCTAACCACCACTTCTTAAGCAGTCTTGACTTTAGCAGGCCCATTCCACCCAACATGCGCAATGTAAACACTTCCAAGCACAGTCAAACATAACGTAGCCACCATAACACCAAACGAGTCATTCAAGTTGCCTACAGGTACAAATACTACCCATGAATCAGTACTTGATTGTGAGTTGACTGAATTAATTGAATCAGTTGTTGTTGTGCATGATGGTGTTTCCATGAGTTTATGTGGGCCGAGTATGAGGCCGTGTAAAGATGTCGGATCTTCAAGAAATGAAGTTTGAGTCAATGACACTCCGTTGATATCGTTTTTTTGTTGTTGATACGGCTCGCAAACGTACCTCGAGTAACGAATATCAAAGGTCTTGGAATCGTTACATTTACATGTGAATGACCAACAGTTGATGCTGGTTGGTATCTCATTTGTAGTGGGATTTCAAAGTTCAAACTACGACGAAAAAGAGAGTTGCGCGTGAGAAAACGTCGGCAAAAAAAGGAGAATTTCTGAACAAATAGCTTGTAGACTTTTTTGCACACCACCACATACTCTCATTTCGCTACCTCTTACCTATTCATACCCACATCCGTCTCCCCCACATAGTCCAAAAACACTGTACATCCCCTGGCGCCATCGTCATTAACAGGCACCTCCAAATCCGGATGCGGCTTAACCGACACGGACCACACACCACCATACAAATTACTATACGACTGTATACGACGCTCCAACTCGTACGGATCAGCGAATACGTCTGCAGGCAGCACTAGCACCACATACACGTATTTGTTTCCTTCTAGGATCGAGATGTTGATGTTGATGATTGGATGATACCCTTGACTAGGCCGTAAACTAATACTGCATATTGGTATATGATTCACGTTTGTAGCAGGTATCTCGACTTGGGTTGTTGCGAGTGTCGACAAATCCATTGTCTCGATACTGTTATCGTTGAGAACGGATAAACGTACATCGACACCATGTTCCTGAGATTTACAAGTCAGGCCTCGTTTGCTATCATCGTTACGAGTCTTCCATACTTCAGTCACATGTATACTCCTATCTCTCGTGACTCGTATCATAAACTCTGTATTCTCCCATCCACTGCTACCACCACTAGCATCCGTATCATCAAATTCGCACGTCCGCCACGACGACAATGCAACCAGCGGTATAGCATTCAAACTCATATGTTTGACATCGACGGTTCGTAATAGGGAAGGCCATAACTCTCGATGTGATTTCGTATCAGCAACCACTACATTCGATTCAGAGGCTTCTGATATTTCCGTAGCGTGTCTAATCACCCCCCAATGATTTGGATCTTTGGCGTATGTTCCGGTAGTGCAGTCTATACCAGATCCAAAGATTCCGTCGAGTAATATATGGCATAATTCGGTCTTGTTCATGTTTCTGCCGTATATAAAGATGGTTGTCGCATTGGAGTCGTGATGCGCTTGTATAAATAGTTCCGAGTTTGGAGATGGTATCTCCTTCCACAAGCGTAGCAGATTGGACTAAATTGAGGAAAGAATAAATGTTAATTCAGCAGTGTGGAAAGAGTTCATGATATAGCAAAAAATCCGAAAGTGATGTCCAAAATGCCATGTTGATTACAACTTGCATCATACCTCGGCATGAGTAAATACATGAGTTACAGTCATTTCGAGTCCAGATCCATATATTCGTACATTTTTAGATCTCGTTGACTTGTCAATGGCGCCTGCAGCCGATGATCTTGCAAACACTTGGATATTGAGAGCTTGCGTAGTCAAGACCAAGAAGGCAAGCACTAGGAAAAGAGGCTGAAAATACAATGCTTTGAATGGCATCTTTCCTGATATTCAAACTTTCAGTCGCTGTTCTTTCTCAAATCTTGCAGTTTAAGCCGAAAGAGTTCAAACGTGTTTCACGCGTTGAAACAATATGCGATCGCTACACGATATACAATGATTTAATATTATAATATACTTACTCAAACTGCTATTCTATATACTTGTACACAAACAATTACACACTTCTTACACCACACCTACTTGAATCGTATCCCCATTCTCCACCCCATAAAACGCCACCTCCCTCAACTCATCATCCATATCAACAACCCGTCCATCCTGCCCAACAACCTTCAACGTCATACTCATCAACGCACATCCAACAACCTTAGCAACCAAAGACCTAAAATTCCGCATCATCATAGTCCCCGGTATTCGTTTCTCAACTGCTTTACTATTAGTCATATTCACCAATTTCACTTGAATCAATCGATCTTTAAGTGTTGACGAGGCAGGCTTAATAGTTGCTGGATTCGGTCTTGTTATATCATACTCTTTGATCAAGACCTCATAGCGAGGATGCAAGTCGTTAAAGCTCGGGTCTTGCATATCGGAAAGACATACTTGATTGACGTAATACAATTCAGCTTCTTTACGTTCTTTGGATGAGATGGCTGATCCGTTGAGTACGGTGAGACTAGATATGCGTGCTATTAACATGGTTCGTTGGACGTATTGTTTTACGGAGTCCAGTAATGGGATTCGACGGATACGTAGGTCTACTAGATTCGGTAGCGTGTTTAGAGTGTCGAGTGATTTCCATGATGATATAGTTGTGGCTGACAGCGTTATGGATTTGAGTGTCTTGAATGTGTCTGGGTGTATAATTATATTCTCGATGGGATTATTGGTTAATACTAGAGATTCGAGGTTTGGTATCTGTGAGAGCGAGGCGGATACATCCTGCCAGTCGTGTATTCCATTAGATTCCAGATTCAGGCTTCGTAGAGTTGGAAAGAAACCATGACGGCCGTTGCTAAAATTACTGCCACCGAGGGTAGCGCACATTCCATCCTGAAATCCAAACGACAAGTCCTCCAAACATGGCAGATACGGACCCATTGACACAACATCCTTCCACCCCCAATTAATTCCATTCAAAACGAGCACCTTAATATTTCCAAACGCACTATTCGGTATCCTATCTAAATCCAGTTCCAGTCTACAATACCCCAGCCTCAGAATCTCCAGTTTAGGCATACACTGCGTCAAGTACCCCACATCCGACACACCCTTAAACAAATTCCGTGACAAATCCAGCTCTTCAAGACTCACACATGCTTCTCGTATCATATCAAGCGATTCAGCGGTATCGCCACCACCATTCACCCTACATATCTGCAGCGCAGCAACATTAATCTCATGCAAATGCCCCAAAGTCTTCATCTTGCGCTTCACTTTATCGAATCCAATAGCTTCAACCGTCTTGCCACCCCATCCACCCATCTCAATGTTGGTCTCATCTATAATGTACTTGGATGTAACTGCTTCGAGGAAGGGGCGACCAAACTTGATTTTGGGCGATGGTTTTATGAATGATGCCGAGTTCGGGCTCGTAGTTGTGAAATATTGTATGCCGTTATGGTTTCCAGAGTGCTTTCCGCGAGATGGATCGTCCCATTCTATGCCATACCAAATGGTTGATGATGTTCCAGATGTTGATGGTATGGCTCCGTGGAAGCGAATTGTGCCAAGCTAGGTAGAGATTGTAACAGGCGTGTGAATAATTTGAGATAGATTCGTCGTGTTCCTTATTAAGCTTGACGGGTTGTCCATCATAAGTTGCGAAAACAAAAATGCTCCATGTTTGCATATAGATCTACGAGGATCAAGAGGGGGAACTAGCAAATCGATAGAAGAGCTACATACCTGACCATCAACATCTACTCTGGCTCCAATGACATCGCTTCCGTCTAGCATTGTAACAGGTTGGAATTATTGGTTCTTCGCAGACAACAAAATGAAGCACGAACCAGAATTTCGTGAACTGTGGTGGCTGGAGCACGCTCTAGATATACAAGATGATACGCCTTCTTTTATTTGAACTATATGCTTCCTTCAGCAACAATACAAAAACAGTCTATACATTTGTTTGCCAATGGTTTACTTATTCACGGTTGCGTTGTCTATAAACAGAAGAGTTATACGATCAAAATGGACCACTCAAATAAGCCTCAACCACCAATCTTACCTTGGAGCACAACGGATAATATCATCTACACGTAAAATCATCTCAGCAGCTTCACTGGCACTGAGCAATACTTGTCGTTTCAGCTTGAAACTCTCAGTAATACCCAATCCAGCTTCACTCATATCTCCAATAATCCCTTCATACATATTCAGACCGGCAGTCGTGTTGCCTTCTGCATGTGATGCTCGCAATTGAGCAACCAAATCTGATGAATCGTATCCAGCATTGTCGGCCAGGATGGTAGGGAGTTGACGAAGTGCTCGTGCGAATGATTCTACTGCAATAGCCCGTTTACCAGGGGTCTTGACGGCGAGCTCATCTACTACTTTTGCCATCAACATTTCAGCGCATCCTACATAAGAGTTTGGTTTGGTTGTGAGCAAAAAACGAAAACAAAGTAGCTGGAGACCTTCGTTCAGGAAGGCCGGAAGCCACGACAAGCTTTGAGGAACTGGTATATATGCAAGACGACAAAACTCACCACCACCCAAAACAGTACGTGGCTCTTGAACAGTTTGTGACAAGACACACAAGGCATCATGCAACGAACGCTCAGCTTCATCCAGCAATTGAGTAGTTGCACCACGCAATACCACAGTGCAAGCTTCACCAGCAGCCACTCCAGAGAACTTGATGAGCTATGAAGACATAACAAATACGTGAGGATGCGAAACAAACAAAAAACCCCGAACAGGCATTCAAGATGTTACCCTGTCTTCTCCGATAATGATTTCCTCGATAAGATCACAACGACCCAACTTGACCAAATCAGGATGATCAAAGGTGGAGGTAATCTCACCACCAGTGACCAATGCTAATCTCTCGATACCATCAAAGTCAGCGTGTTCAATAGACATAATACCAGCATCAGCAAATAGTTGCTCGGGCCAGTTGTAAATAAGTTGACGGTTTACAAAGCAGTTGATGCCGTGGGCCTTGATCTTTTCTACTTTGGCCTTCATTTTTTCCTAAATACGAAAAATTTGGAATGATGGTGTGTGAGTTTGACAACCAAACTTTCAATCCAATTTCGTAGCCTCCAAATTTTTTTTGGCAGTGTATAACGCAAGAGACACATACTCGTTCAGCTCGTTCCAATTCAGCCAATTTGCCTGTAGCATCTACTTTGACTCTGGCACCAAAAATTTTGATCTTGTCGTAATCCATGGCTAGAAGAGCAAAAAGAATGAGTAATCGAACCAAAGAATGATTCTACCTTTGCAACTCACGAGTATTAGCAACGAGAATCTTGGCATTCTCGATTCGTTTCGGTTGATTCACACCAATCTTCTTGTCCAAAATGAATCCTGCAACATAAATCGAAAGAGGTCGTTGAGATTATGCGCAAAAAAAGCGAAATGTTTCGGAAGTACCTTCAGCCAAGTACGAATCAATTAATTTTCCACCAGGCTTCTTGATTATTTGGATATTATCCAGATTGGTGCTTCCCTGTTTGATATGACGAGGCGTTTAGATCACACTCTCATGCGATGAGTCCCAAACCGAACACATACCTTCAATCGTAACACAGCATCTACTGCCAATTTGGCAAAGTATTCCTTGTCTTGTGACAATACCTTGGAACTTAAAGTGGTCTTTGCAATGTTGATCAAGTCCTTTCGAAAGTGCTCTGGGTCCTTGCTACATAAGTAAGAAGAGATGTGTGAGTTCCTGCATACGGAACTTGTGCATCTTCATTTTTTTCTCCTGTCTCCCACGCAAACAAAAATAAAATGATTCACAGTCGGCCTAGGTCAAACACCTGCCTGTTATCAACGGCAGCAGCTTCCAAAGCCTTGAAAGCAGCAGCACTAGCAATTCGATAACCCTCAATGATTGTCTGCGGATGGATCTTTTGGGCGACCAATTTCTCTCCTTCTCGTAGCAATTCAGCAGCCAAGACACACACAGAAGTGGTACCATCACCGACTTCATCGTCTTGTACTTTGGATATGTTTACGAGGACTTTTGCAGCAGCGTTATCCAGTGCGATTGATTTTAAGATTGTTGCGCCATCGTTTGTGACCATGATTTCACCTCTGGACATGGATGCTAGGATCTTGTCCATTCCTTTTGGACCCAATGTGGATTTGACTAGATCTCCTACTGCGATTGCACCCACAAATGAAGACTAGCATTAGAAAGGGGGAGAATTGTTAAATATAATAAATTATAATGCTATAATTTGGGTTGATGCTTTTGAATTGATAGTAATGGGCTTGACTCTAAGTAATCGTCTTTCATGCCAAAATGTGTTTTTCAATGTAGGCCAATCATTACCAATCGAGCATTTTCAGCACGTTCTTCAGAAGCGTTTTCTCCAAATATCTGTACAGGTCCCATAGTCCCGGCCTATTATATAATGGATTCATTCGGTTAGCTGACATTCATCACAGCATGAAATAAATGCGCAGAATCCAAGCGAAGTGGTTTGATTGAAGGGCAAAGGCAGACATGAGCAATGACATACCATGATGAGATGATATAATTATATAATATGCAAACACTATTGCTGCAGTCTTGCCTCTTTCCTCTGCTTGGTCTAATTGATGTCGTCGTTTTGTTGCGAGAAAAATGTCACGAAACGGAGATGCATGCAAATTCCATCTGGGATGGCCACAAGGACGTGTCATTCAATGGAATTCAACCTGAAATACTGAAATATCGATTAGTATATTAGGAGCCTGCTAGAACGCGTCAATCATTGTATATTTGGCATCGACACAATTTCAAACATCCATCAATGCTGACAGTCATAACTGTCACGACCAAATCACGTCAACATCTACTTGAACTTGGAAGATATTGAAGTAGTAACTGAAACGGTTAACATCTTGCCATGTGTTTGCCCAGAACAGAAGCAGTATATTATATTGATTTCACCAAAAAAAAGCACACACTAGCTATCCTTCTGTCCTCTCCCAAATATCAGTCTTTCCTCTCTCAAATATCTCTAATGGATGAATGATATGCTAGCATCAAGACATGTGAACAAAAGTCAACCTGAAGACTGGACTCACCATTCACGATTTGACTATACCCACGCTCATACGTGACTTAATGGACTACCCATGGATAACAATCCAAATCCTTTTTGATACTGTAAATCATTTTCAACCTTTCAGGCAAAGTGACAATAATAGATTCTTTATATCCGTTCGTGACTTCATCAGATATGACTGGATCACCATAATGCTTGATCCGACTGTCATTCATAAATCCATGTAGTAGAGGGTCGACTTCCCCGATAATGGCATATGGACCTGATGACGTGACGATGGTCCTCTCCTGTTTATCTTCACCTGTATTGAAGCGAGCTGGAGACAAGGCGACTTCTACACCCATGCATCCTGCATGTTCTGGATTTACTATGACCATTTCAGATGTTGCCTTCTCACATTCCAAATTGCGGAAGCCAGATTGATGACTTTCAGAGACGACTAATGGCAATGAGCAATATTTCTTTTGGGCACCTACAATTGATTTACCATCTGCTGTAGCGTCGATACCAATTATAGGATGATCGTATACAGAGGCCTGAGTCCTAGCTCTCGACCCGAGTCTGTTGAGGGTGGTTGTCATGGCACATTTTGTGACGTATTGTTTGGGGTCTGTTTCTTCTCGTTTATTCCCAGCGCGTAGAGGATTGACTTTGTGTAAACTACTACGGTTACTACCTACAAAAGTCTTTGGTGGATTCCACTTGGCATCATTGGTTGGTTTCATCATAGCAGCATCTGCTGATACAGCTTCACTCCATTTTCTTACTACTGCACGTCCGTATGGTACTCTATCGATCCCGCCTTTTTGATGATTATATCCAAGCATTTGTGTTCTAGGCGTTGATCTGACTTCATTGACGAGGCGGATGTCACTCTTGTTGTATTCTCCTTTACTGATAGTGAGGGTATTTGATATTTCATTGTTTGTAAAATGTTGTCTGCTCTCTGTGTCGACTCGTTCATCCTCAGATAGGCGAGGATTTGCTCCGAATAGTGCCCTGTTTTGGATTTCGATAATGGTCTTTTGTGGAGGAAGTTGGACAAACTTGGAATCTGGAAAAATACTCTTTACAGGCTTTCCGTCGTCTACCTTCCACTCTTTGACGATCCCACCTCGTGAGAAGTCATTCGTTTTGACAAATGGTCTGGTCTCTGAGCCTCGTTGACTAGCAGCTAGTGGAAGATCGACTCTGAGTATGGACTTGTGGTTTGTGCCAATAACTGTCTTTTCCGGAGCGAGTTGGGCAAAGTTGGAATATGGTAATATACTGTCTACGGAGATCGAGTCGTCTGCCTGCCATTCTTCTGCAATACGACCTCGCTCCAAATCCATGCGGAATATCGAATGCTCTTCTTGTGGCTTCATTATGAGCATAGACGAGACCTCTTCGTGCAGCATTACTTTTCGTGGAGAGAGTTTGCTGTTTATGTCTCGGACATGGTCGATAGTGGTGCTGACTTCGAGTCGACTATTGTCTGAGTACTTGTGGAATATCGAATGCTCTTCGTTTGGCCTCATTAGGAGCTGTGCCCAGTCTTGCCTAACGAAGAGTTCTTGTCGTGTTGCGAAAGTGGTTCTGTATATATCTCGGTCGTTAGAGACTGTGGTATTTATATCGAGCGTACTATGATCGGAAGCCTTGAATACGGATGTCTGGATTACACTTGTGTGGTTGCCACGTACTACAAACGACCGATTATGTATATATGGTACTCCAGCAGATGAGTTCTTCTTGCTGCTTCTGGCTGGCATAGGTTTGATGCTGGCTATTATGGCATTGGAGGGTACTCCTTGGAATTCTGTTACGGGCCCTTCTCCAAGGATAGTATGAGGAATAGTTGTGGTTGTTGATGATGGTAGTGGTGTTTCTTCCATTGCCGGTGACGATATTGGAGAAGCTACAGCTTCGATTGCAGATACTTTTGCGGCCGAGATTTCAGCAGGGACACCGATGGTAGCGCCAGAATTTGCACCGACTGCTGCTTCTTTGCCTTTAGATTCGTCGTCTTTCCTTGCTGCTTGTTCTACTTCATCGTCACTATCAGCTTCCTGGACACGCTCTCCAGAGTATTCCTCTATTTTGATGGCTTGAGCAGTACCTCCATTACTAGCACATGATTCCTGTTTTGCAATACTGGGCACGGTTGCTTGTGATGTTTGTGTTTCGTCGATGGGTGATGAGGATGATGAGGAAGACGACGACGATGATGTTGGTGATACAGTAGCGGTATCATCAGGACATGGGGATGCAGTTGGTGATGGTGTTGGTGATGATCGTGATGACTGATATCTGCCAAACAGTGAGACCACAAATGTCAAGCACCGGCATCTTTTCCTCCGTGGTTTAGATGATGGCTTTACTAGTCCATGTTCTAGAGTGAATTTGGGGATTGCAATAGTCAGTTTCAGGTTGTGGCGTCAATGATCAAAAAACAGCACAAATGTTGAATTCAAAAATGGTCTGTTTTGCTAGCGAGGAAGGGCGCATATGCTTGTATGCTATGCAAATGATGGTATATACCTTCATGATCAGCTTCTCTACTCTCCGTAGTATCATTTTTTGCAGTTGGTTGTGGTGTAAGTTCTTCATTCTTGATTCGTCGGCCGAATAGCAGATAATATAGTGATTCAACACTCATAATCGATGGATGCGATGATTGTCTTGACATATTTTGCTCTCTTGCTCTTCGTCTAGTAGCGATTTTTGTCATTACTAGTCTCTCTCAAAATGTTTGTTACTGAGCAAGAAATCTGGTCTGCCATTTCAATTATAGTAGATAAAGACGCGTACAGTGAAGACTCGAGTAGCAGTATCAATATGCTGTTACCGTGCTAGAGCTATAATGTCGTCTCTCTCCTATACAACGAGATTGCGGCACCTACATTACTCAAGTCAAAAAACACGTGAATATGGTAAATGTCAATGTATTTCCAAAACCACCCAATTTGGAGCACTTAAAAGCAGATGTATGAAGCTTTGCGACTAATAGTACTGTTGCCATTCAGAAAATTTCCTTCGAGGTTGTGTAATTCAGCCTTCAAAACATGTTCTGGAAATGCTACCGATCAACAATACATGACTCCCTTTATCTTGGGTTTTTCGTTGCCTATGATCTTTGGATAGATGGTTCGCGACATCTTGAAATTGGAACAGCCTTGTTCGTAAACCATTCATTACAGAATACTGAAGCAAGTTCTACTTTATATTTATCAGCAACAAAACCATTGCTTACATACTAATCATCCCACTCTTCCTCTTCATCATCATCGTCCTCATCTGAATCTAAAGTAAAACAAAGGCCAACAGTCAGTTTCCCTTACCAAAAGCCCAAAACACCGCAAACGACACCCTACCAGAATCCCCAGTCTTATTACGACGCGCCATCAGTGCAGCCTTCAAAGCATTTGCCAAATCATCTCCCCCAGCCTCCTCTTCAGGCTCATCACTAGGATCGACATGTTTCAAACCAACTGCTTGTGCGCCTCGGATAGCAGCCATTAAATCGACGCGACCGTCAGCACCACCGCCAAATGCTGGTGGAGGAGGAGGAGCCATGGGAGCGCCGCCACCACGTGGAGGTGGCGGTGGTGCAAACGAGTTACCACCACCGCCGCCAAATCCTGGTGGTGGAGGAGGTGGTGGAGGTGGAGCGCCACCACCACTGCTGAATGATGGAGCACCACCAAAGTTGGGTGGGGGTGGTGGTGGAGGAGGTGGAGGTGCACCGCCGCCGGATGGTCGACTATGTGCAAAAGAATAATTCAAGAGAAGCTGACAAGACAACAAAGTCTCAAATCTCAGGTAGTCACTCACGCTGGTGGTGGAGGAGCAGCACCTCTTGCTGGAGGTGGCGGAGCCATTCCTCCTCCTGTTGTTACTGGTCTTGGAGGCGGTGGTGGAGTATAAGAATTAAAATTATCTGTTGCTGGAGCTCCTCCTCCTCCTCTACTAGGAGGTGGTGGCGGTGGTGGTCTACTTCCTCGCGACGGAGGCGGTGGAGGTGGTGGACGTTTTACTATTCGTGTTGTAAAGTCAGCATTAAATCGTAGCAATACAGTGTTTTAGTTTGCAAGCCATCACGACATACCAGCTGAAGCACCAGGAGGAGGCGGTGGAGGTCTCCTTGTAGGCTGAACTCCACCATGCTGCTGCATAAACTTGCGAACAACTTTTGCTGTAGTTCGATCTTGCAATTGGTCTTCAGTGATGCCAGCTTTAGCAAAGATTTGCTTCCATTCAGGAGGAATATTATGGGCACTGAATCCAGTCTTTTTGTCATATCCGACACCTGAGACGTGTCTATATGGTGAAGAGCGGTTAGACCAAAGAAACGAGGTGAACGAGAAAGATGTATCGCTGACTTGAAATCCATAGGAGCTCCAATCATGCTCTTATCAATCTTGCCGCCCTTCTTGCTCTTCTTCTCCTTCTTTTCGGCTTTGGCAGCTTCTTTCTTGGTCTCTTTACTAATGTCCTTTGTGCTTGAGGATTTAGGTATCGATGCTAACAAAAAAGAGGTCAAGGTCGTGAAGGTGAATGTTCACACAAAGCGACAATTTACCAGCAGGTGCCACAGTACTTGATCTTGCAGAATTCCTTCCTTGAACTTGGTCAAAGAATGCCGATGCCTCATACTCATCAGCAAACGACAATCCAATCATGTAATTCTAAAATTAAACCCAATATACTTAAATATCAGTCCCCAACATCAACACGGTAACAATATCAATATCTACATACCTGTCCAACAAACGAATGAAAGAATGGCTTTTCCTGATAATACTGTATATCCGACCCAATCGTCTCTTGCCAAATGACACCTCGTTTAGTGCCCAATTCGACCAGTTTCAGAGCAGTTTGGCGTGTGTTTGCGTCCCGTGTGAGCACTATAGCACCACATTTCTGAGTATATGTCCATTCATAGCCACTTCGGGCCTCGTATACTCGAGCTGCCGTCGATGCCAATATCTGGATTTAGGTGCGTTTTGAGTGGGGTCAGTTAAATACAAGGAAAGGAGGTGGAGGAAGGTGTAATTGGACTTACTTCGAGACCTGGAACGGCCTTCTTTATGGTCGTGTTGTCCTCTGGAGCCAGAATATCTGAAGGCATGGTTGTCGTTCACCAAAGTTGTTTCGAGGATTGGAATGAACGAAAGCAGGAATCAGTCAATCGTCGGTCGCGTTCATCAGTAACAAGACATTTTCTAGCATTTTATATTGATGAATGCAATTCTACGTGATTTTCGTTTCTTCCTTTCCACAAACGTGGTCGTTTCATCGCCTTGATCATTTCCGCCAATGCCGGCTTGATCAACTTCTCATTCATTTCAACGGCATGCTTAAAGTAAAGAATCTCGCACGTCTTTGGTGGAATATACTTGGCAAACGGCAGAGCCTTGCTATAGAATTTGAAATTGTGGTGTCTCCATTTTGCCACCACGTTGAGCAGCTCTTTTTCATATTTGGACAAGACATCTCCTGTTAGTTCCTTATACTTCACGAGCTCCGAGAGAGAATTTGACTCTACGGTCAAGAGAAAGTTCAAGCCAGCACCACTAAGATTCGAAGAAACAATGTTAATTGACATTGTTGTCACAGGCTCAAAAGTCACATCTACTTTGAAACGTCCCAGTCCTATACGCATCTCCAAATACAACCAAATTTCTCCCACAGTACGCCTTACTGAGATTCGTTTCCCTCACCATCACCACGTTGGTAGCTTCTTTCACAACAATATCCTCATTCTCGACTCCAGGCATGGCTTGTATGAATTGTTTTGCCTGACTGACACCATATTCAGCAACATCCTTAGATCCAGGTCCATCCTCCCATGATAGCGTAGAATCAGCAGGAGCGCCGTCGAACAAGGCTGTTTTACCAAGTTCAGGATGCACACTAAACCAAATAGTATTGTGTGCTTCATCTTTTCGGCAGCCTGTGACTGGACATGCTGCGAAGATGACGTCTCCGTGGCGTCGTGAGTGGATGCCTGGTGGGAAGAGTTCGAGACGGCGTTGTGGAGATGAGAAGTGGACGTTTACAGATAAGATATACCTATAGTCCGACACGATCAGGTCATGAATAAAGATTCAATGTTGATGTGGGAACGACCGAAGCGCCTCTTTTGGAGAAGAAGCATGACTTGGTAGAGTGCCCATCTAGGTATGTTGGACAAGT